ACTGGAGGTATAGTAACAGGTGGAGAGCTGATGACTTCTGTTGATTCGACTAGACTGCGGCATTTGGGGCTTGGCCATTCCAGTATTGATTCCTCGCATAGATTGAAAGAGGGTGCAAAGACCTGCAGTTTGAAGTCCAGTGAACATATTGATGTGAGCAAGAAGATCGAGGTGAAGTGTGGCACCTCTATTCACCGTGCTAAGGGTCGTTCTTGAGGAGTTCACGTGGATGTTTGGGGGCCTTCCAAGAGGGCATCATTGGGAGGTAATAGGCGTTTGGTTTCCTTTGTTGGTGGCTATTCTAGGCGGTTTGGGTTGCAACCAAATTACGATGTTTAATACAAGATATATTTCTAGCATTAAAATTTAATCACTTAGGGTTAAAGATTTTATAGATTGAGAAAATGATAAGAATTTCAAAGTTAGTAATATTTAATGCTCACATATACGTTCTTATTTTTCAGTCCTACAGAAAAATATTATCAGTAAATATATTTATGCAGAGAGGTAGATGTACTTATCAAATTATCAGAGAATAGTATCTAATTCATTGCTTTTAGTATAGTTTTAGATTTAACGTATAAGTTAAATATAAAAATGATTTTTAAAAAAATATTATCAGTAAATATATTTATCCTCAGGCACACCTCCGACCACACCCCCTATCTACAGTGCAGGGGGGCCCACTTGAGATTTTTAAAAAAAATCTCAAGTGAGCCCCCCTGCAATGTAGATAGAGGGGGGTGGGCCGTGTGGCCGGAGGTGTGCCCGAAGGTGTGCCTCTATCATTTCTCAAAAATAAAATAGTGAAGCGTTTGCTTTAAAATTTCAAAGAGGATTAGGCCGTTCTACTTAGTCTCTATAAATAAAACAGTGCAAAGATTTTGGACTGAATAAAAGAAGAGGAGAGAATGTTATTATAGTTTCGGGACTATTTCTCATTCAGGATTAGATACGGAAAAACCCCATTGTTAGCTCTAATTATTTTCTTCATCCACTTCTAGTGCGAAACTCATGCGGTGGTACAACAAATAAATTAATATGTTGCGTAAAAAAGACTAATTATAATCATAAAACACTCTATAAACATAAAATGGATATATACTTCACTGGCTCCATAATCCAATGCCATGAGGAACTGGAAAAGAAAAATGAATAAGACCTGTGCGACTGAAACTTAAGCTTAAATTGTATTGTTCTCATGAACGAGTTTCTGCTAACGTCTAAAACTTTTGTTATCACTAATGAGCTACGCAAAAATTTCAGAAAAAAAAAAGACATTGTCGTTTGTGCTTCGCCGAGGTGGAGAATTGTGAAGCACGTGGGGGGACCACGAGATGCGTGACCACGAGACCGGAAGCGGAATTGTTTTCAGCTTGTGACGCGTGAAGAAAACGCGTGAACAGTAGTAGGCCAGGCCCACCCGAGAGATTTGTTTTGATGCTATATATACATCTTTGTAGTTTTCTAGGGTTTTGTGCGTGGGGGGGTGTGCAGGTCTTTTGGCGGCTGCAGAAAAAATTTGTTTGGGCTCGGTGAAAACGCAGAAAAAGTGACGGCGGGACTGTGCAAAGGGTTCTCGGCTGAGAGGGTTTTTTCTGCTGTAGCAAAGGAGTTCAAGAGGAGTTTTCTGTGTAATCTTTTTGTGCTTTTGTGAGAGATTAGAGAGTTAGTTTGAGGGTTTAGTTTGTGAGATTGTAAACCTTTTGTATTCTCTCTCTAATAGTAGATCTCCCCCCTCCTTGCCCCGTGGACGTAGGCAGTTTGCCGAACCACGTAAAATTGGTTGTTTGAGTTTGTGGCCATTGTAATAGTTTTTAGGATCCCTCGACGCGCAGTCCTAGAGCTGACGAGAGGAAGAGCAAATATTGTAATAGTTTTTAGGATCCCTCGACGCGCAGTCCTAGAGCTGACGAGAGGAAGAACAAATATCCCACTTTGATGGAATATTAGGCTTTCAGATTCTTGTTCCCTTTGAGAAACAAGAATTCTTATCAATCTTTCTCTCTTATTGTGCACCAGAAACTCTGCCGAAATTTCCGCTGCGCACAACAATAAATTATGAATTGTGGAGGGTATACAGATAAAAAGGCATACACATAAAATTATTTATTTCATAATTATAAAAAAATGTCCTAAAATCATATAACCTTTCTGACCTATTAGATTTCATAAGCTGCATCTAAGTACTTAGAATTTAAATTATGGTTTTGATGCTCTGACATATATTTT